TCACTGAATTAGAGTGCTATGTTTTCACATTCGCGTTACACGATCAGTTGTTCCAAAATAACGTGTGTTCAGCTGTGGCAATGGGTAACAATTTGTACCTGCGTATTTAAGATTTTGGCCTGGGTTTAGCTGTATGGGATCAACCAAAGCGGGCTACAATGTAAGGACCACAGATATAGTTCCTCATGGAACTTTTACTGATTTTGGTGCCAATTTATGGTTTGAGATTTAAATTAACAGCGGTAATTTCCGTGATGTTGGATATAGCAACAAAACGTTGCATGTCCACCGTAATATTATTACAAGCGCTAGTGCCTGTCTCGAAAAAAAACTACCACTCAATGATTGTTTAATCATCGAGTTTGGTTTTATAACCATGTGCTCATTTGCATGGTAACTAATATTATTACAAGCACTAGTGCTTGTCTTAAAAAAACTACCACTAAATGATTGTTAAATCATTGAGTTTTGGATTCATAACCAGGACGTGACCTCATAACCACATAAATATTACTCGTGGAAGTCCAAGGGACTATATCGAAGACTGAAAGAGACAAAGTTGATCAAATAGACAGATCAACACTGCAGATCGCAGTAAAAACCCTCAAATTTGCAATTAACTAAAGAGGAAGGGAGATCATTCTTATACGAAATGACAGAAACAAAGAAGCCGTAAACTTAAACTTTTAAGCAACGTACAGGGTGGCTCACTGAAAATATCCTAACCTGTTTGTGCATTGCTTGCACTGGGTAGATTTGCGGCAACACTGTAGCCGCAGGTCTGCTCATATGATATGATTAGCTGAGTTGCCCTGTATTCCTCTGAACATTATTATAATATTATGAAGCAGCCGGACAGTACCGGTAAATTATAGGCAGGTGCGATGAAATTCTCAGTTTTGTCGGAGCATATTTCCGGCATTAGTATCGTACTTACAAAGTACTATAGATTATATAATACAATATACAATATGTGGTATATTGAGACCTAGCCTAATGGTTAGTGTAGTCGCCGCTATGGCGCTGCGGGCGCTACGACGCCACCTATAAACAGTTAATAAATACTTTCCAATATGGTCGAATCCTGAACATGTTATGATTTCAGAAGTTTGTAATAATCTGTAGATCTATCATACTAAATTGAACCCATACGTCGGATCAAGACGCTACAGTGGCGACGAGGATTTAAGGAACAAGTTCAGGCGAATTATGGCCAAAATAGCCATCGAGTTAGTGGGATTGTCAGCGTTTGACTGTGGTGGCCAACAGACAACAGTGGGACCACGTTGGACAAAATGGAAGAAAAGCTTCGAATACTATGTGGAGGCGAAAGGTGTTGTGAATGAGGCCCAGGAGAAGGCTCTGCTCCTCCATTCGGTGGGGTCTGATGTGCAAGAGTTGTATGAGACATTGACTGATCCGGGGCCAGGTGTCGGAGTGGTAGAAGATACTGCAAGCTCAACCCAGAAGGTAATCCGAACACTTGACGATGAACAATCAACCAAACTGAGGCGTAAGCTGTTAGAAAAGAGTGACTTAACCTTGTCGAAGGCGATGGACATTG